AAAATTTCAATATTTCTTCTTAAACTGAAATTAACTTATTCAACACGTTCTAATTATTTTAAAATATAAACTTTATGTAATATTAACAATTTAATTAATATATTATAGTCTATATTTTAGTAGTAAAATGTAGTTTATTATATAACTTAATACTATAGGCATCCATTTAAATGTGAAATTATTTAAAATTATGTAAAGGATAAAAAAAAAACAAATTTCTTTATTTTTGACCTATTTCTCAGTTTAATTTACGTTGTATTGAAAAGTAATTAAGCTCTTAAATATATAAATCATGTTTAATTGTTATTTAAACTTATTAGTTAGTTGTTAGCACTATGAAGTCCATTATGTTTTCGATACTTTTTATGTTTTTGGCTTCTATTGAATGTATTCATATTGGATATTTTGACTATATTATAGGTATGTCAAACGCCGTATATATTTTAAAAATATTAATTAAATTAAAATGTGTAATTTATAAAATAATAATTTAAAATAAATAAATACATATTTTTTTCTTTTTAAATTACTTATATACGTTTTGGAGTAAAATGTAACAAAGTACTGTATTAAATATTTTCATATAAAAAAAATGCTAATTTTTATCGACTTTTTATAAAATATTTTTTAAAAAATTCTTCTGTTATGAATTTTATCAATATTTAAAACTTTAAGAATATTTTAAGATTTTAAATATGATAAAAAGTAAGATGGATGATGCTAGAAGCTATTTTGTAAATACAATTTTTAATATTTTAGTAGAGAATTGTTGAATTATATAATGCATTTTATCATAGAAACTAATAAATATTCAAAATTTTATTATAAGTCATAAATAATTATTTAAGTTGGTAATTAATATTATAAATTTTTTAAATAGTAGATTTATTCTTATGTTTTATATTTAATAAATAACATTTTTCTAATATATTTCTCTGGAAAAATGTGATGAAGTAGATTTAAATTATTTCATATAAATTCATTTTTATGACAAAATAAATAATGATGTTTATGTAATATAAATTTAATTTATAAGTTAAATATCTGGCATATGTTATGTAAAACGTAAATTTTTTACTTCTCCTACACTTTTTAATGTTTTACATTATTTATTTTATCTAATATTTGGATCGAAATTTCTTGGAGTATGTCATAAATATTTTTTATTCTGATGTTTGCTATGTATTACGGTAATTTTATATAGAATTATTTAATTGTAATAATAATTATTAGCAAAGGAAAATACTGTGTCTTGATTTAAAATAAATTTTGTTCTTATATCAAGCATTTTAGAATTTTACTCAATACGTTTCTTTCTGACTTAAAATATTTTAAAATTCTTTTAAATTATTGACTTTAAGTTGGTTCTGGATCAGCTGGAGCAGTTTTGGCTTATAGATTATCACAAAATCCTTCTATTAAAGTACTTATTTTGGAAGCAGGAGAATCACCACCTCTAGTTGCAGACATTCCTTCTTCATATCTCAATCTTCTCACCACAAAATTCAATTGGAATTATACTTCTGTACCCAGTGATACAATAGCTCAAGCAATAAAAAATAGAGTAAGTTGCGTGTGAAACTATAAGAAAGTATGATTTTACTTAAGTAACTTAAGATCACGCGCTTCAGAAACCTTAAATAAGGATTCGTATTCTTTCAGGTATTTGGTATCGATGCAGGCAAAATTTTGGGTGGAACAGCTATGATAAATCAAAATGTGTTTGCTCGTGGAAATAAATACGATTACGATAGCTGGGCTCGAAATGGTGCAGCTGGGTGGGATTGGGATAACGTACTTCCTTATTTTATTAAACTGGAGGATAATCATAACCCAGGAATTGCTGTAAATGGTAAGTAATTACATTGTTTTTTTTAAATAAATTCTTCATTTTCAATTAATTTCTTAATTATACATTATTTGTAGGTTATCACGGTGTTGGTGGACCTATAGTTATGGAATTTCCTACTTTTCATGCACCTGTAACTAAAGGTTATGTAGAAGCAGCTGCCTCTATTGGTTATCCTATAGGAGACTTCAACGCTTGGCCTCAAACTGGTTAATTTTATTTTTACTTTAGTGCCAGAGCTCGATAAAATGAACTTAAATGCAAAATATTTAAAATTTACAAGTACTCTTAATGTAATCTTATTTCAGCTATCGCAAAACTTATCATCTATATTAGGGGTGAGCAGTTTTTTTTCAGTGTACGTGAACACTTTAGAAACACGATACATGCTGTACGAAACACGAAAAAATATATAAAATGATATCGGATATTTGTTCTCTTAGATGAGCCCTGGGTTTTGCATGCCACCTTGCTGGGTTTTCGTTGGCGTGCCACCTTTGGCACTCTTGCCAAGGATTGCCCACCCCTGATGTACTGTACGTAGTATATCTTATGCCATTCGCAGTGGGCAGCATTTGTAAAAAGGAATATTTTCCTTTAATTTCAATGTTTTCATCGTCTGCAAGGATTAATATTTAATTTTATCAAATATTTATTGTATTTGTTTTAAAATATTTAACGAAATTTTAATAATAAATATTTGGGATTAATTATTTATATATTTTGTAGTTATCGAGTTTGAATTACCTGTAAATAATTAATTACTGTTAAGTATATCGATATCTAAAATTATCTAATAATGAAATTTGTCACAAATTTTAGTTTTTATGCCGCCACAAGGAACATTATTCAAAGGAAGAAGATGGACTACATTTCATGGATATATCGAACCAATAAGAGGGAGAAGAAATATTCGAATAATTACATTAGCATATGTTACAAAAGTAATAACTATAATTTGTATAACAATAAATAACAATTATCGCAATTAATATGAAATATTTTAAATTTTAGATACTTATAAATGAAAATAAACGTGCCTATGGTGTTATTTTTGAAATTAAAGGAAGAGGATTTAAAGCCATAGCTAAGCAAGAAGTGATTTTATCTGCAGGAGCATTCAATTCTCCAAAACTTTTACTTTTATCTGGAATTGGAAGGAAAGAAGTTTTGATAAAATTTAATGTATTAAATTTTATAAATTATTTTTGCTTCTTAAATAAATAACCCAAAATTAATATAATAATATAAAAATTGATTTCTCAGATACCAATTATAGCTGATCTTCCTGTAGGAGAAAACTTAATAAATCATTTATCAACTGGAGGACTTCATTTTAGCGTTAATTCTTATACATTTAATGAAAATAGAATTACAAAAGAAAATTATGTACAGTTTTCGGTTAATGGAACTGGTAAATATGACTAATTGTAAAAAAATATTAAAATATAAATTGTTAAAATAATTAAAAATTCATATCTGGACGAAAATTATAATATAGAAATTAATAGCATATTTATTATTTTAGGACCATTATCGTCTTTAGGTGGTATAGAAACGCTAGGATTTGTAAATTCAAAATATAATAAAAATCTAAATTGGCCAGACATTGAAATATATTGGACTTCGAAGAGTCTTGCGTCTGATTCATTATGGAGAGCTAATTCGGGTATTACTGATGAGGTATTTTTCTACTTTATTAATAAAATATTTAATTCAGTAAATACTTTTGAAAAATTAATCAATTAAATATCTGAAATTCGTAAAAAGTAAGACTTTCATTTTAATGGTTGGAAAAAAAATTAAGATAAAGTTTTATATTTAACGACACAGTGTAACATGTCCATAGTTTAGATTTCATCATCCCTAATGGGACGATGACATTGGAGCCTCAAAGAGGATATTCACACAAAAGAATTATGAGTCAGGTGATAATCAGTTGGGTAAAGATGGGTTAAAAATTCCGTTGTAAGAAAATCTGATCATCTAAAGAGATGGTTGGCTTAAAGGAATAGTCATCTGGAGAGGTGTCATTTTATGTAAATTTAATAGTCTTCAATTTTAATTAATATTATTTCCTAAAATATAAATTATTTAAAATTTTTTATTATGAAATGCTAATATGTCATTTCAGTTAGCGAAGATATTTGAAAAATTCCGATCCCTGGACACAGTAATTTGTTCTCCTTTTCCGACTCGTCCAAAGAGCAAAGGAACCGTAACTATCGAATCCACTGATCCATATGCCGCTCCAGTAATTGATTTTAACTATTATTCTGATCCATACGATATAAAAATTATGGTAGAAGGTAATAATTTTTAATTGTAAAAATAGATTTTAAAATGTAGATATAAATGTTGAATAATATTAAAACTAACTGTTCAGGAATGAAGTTTTGTTTAAATTTGACGTCTACCAAAGCTATGAAAAAATTCGATGCCAAACCACTTCCATATACAATGCCGGGTTGTGAAAAACATAAAAAGTTTAGCGATAAATATTTAGAATGCATGGCAAAAGCATTTCCTTTCGCTTTACATCACTTCGCAGGAACTTGCAAAATGGGTGCATTCCATGATCCAACAACAGTGGTAGATCCTACTCTCAGGCAAGTTGCTTAAAATTCTCTATATAATAATTTAAAATATTTTATATTTAATGTAAAATATTTATTTTTCTAACAGAGTTAAAGGTATTGATGGATTAAGAGTAGTTGATGCTTCAGTTATTCCAACTCAGATAGGAGGGCATATCAACATACCTGTTATTATGATAGCCGAAAAAGCTGCAGATATGATCTTAGAAAGTTATCAAAATCGAGAATATAATTATTATAATAATCGCTTTTTTCGGAATCCTTATCGTAGTAATTACTTTAAATAACTTTTTTTTTTCAAAGTCTCTAATTATAATTTATTCTTTTAGAATTATAGTAAATCATTCATATAATAAAAAACAAAACTCAAAATTCTAAAATTAGGCTCATCATGAGTTAATAGCCTAATTTTAGAACGTTTCTTTTTATAGAAATTTCAATTTATATAACAAATAACGAAAGAAAAAATGGATAAAGCTGTGTAAATAATTACATTGGGTGATCGGTTAACGAACATAATCTTCCAAGACTTTGTTCGCTATCCGAATTGTTCGTTAACCGATTATCGATTTACCATAGGTTTTAATGGAAATTTAATTAATTCGTTTTGGAGACCAACAAAAATAAAAAAATATATATACTTTCTTACTACGTTTATTTATATGTAGTAATAAAAATACATACGTACAGTACATAGTCTTGCATTTTTATTAGTCATGTTTTTTCCGTTTGAAAGGGTTAAAGAATCTGTCTAATGTCGATTGCTCTTCTCTCTTCTTCAGGATTTTTCGTAAGTAATTAATAGCATTGCAATTGTAGAAATACCCAAGCCTCAACCTGGTTTGGATGCCATTCTAAGACCGTCGTTCTNATGCATACATAGAAAATACAGATAAATAAAGAAATAAATATATATATATTAATATCTGTGTTTCCACGCTTTTGTCACTAATAGGGTATTTTTAACCATAGCCATTGCCCAGACCACCGATGGACGGCCGACATAATCGAGACAGACCATCCCCAAAAAATTCTTCAGGGTGCTTGCCCGAATTCGATTCTGGATCCTCAAAGCGATAGGCAGACGCTTTAATCGCCTCGGCGATCGGCCGTCAATTTGATATGTTATCACATTTTATAACTATTTATATTTATTTAAATTATGTAAAAGTTATATTTGCCACCATAATCTTATATATAGAACATACGGAATTACATTTTATGGTTGTTTGTTATGTTAGAAACATGCAACGATGGTTTATACGTAGATCATATAATAATTTTTGTCGTAACCAAATTGTTTCTGACAAAAATAAGAATTATTTTTTATTTAGGACGAATAATATTGCCGCTTCCATCAATTCAATTTTGATAACAGTACTTTATTAAAATTATTTAAAATGTACTCTGTATTCTCCTATGCTTTACAATTCTGTATTTCAAAGCGTTTTCTGTCGCTCTTATTTAAATTTACTTATTTGATAATCTCTATTGGCTACATTTGTATAGAAACATTGTAAAATTATTTTAATTCCAGCATCTGGAATGCCTAAAGCTATTTTATAATATTGAATTTATAAAATAATAAAGTAAAGGTAAATTTGACTTGAATTAATAATTATTTCACATGAATTCTGAATTTTAACAATTATACTTATCTTCTTTTTTAATATATTATTGATTCAGAAAACGAGACTTTTATCTTTATTTCAAATTGTCACAGTTTAGTAAGAATAAAAATAATCATTAATTGTAAATTGGATAAAGTTAAATTCTTTAGCAACTTGAAAAGATATTTAATGAATATAATAAGATCTTTCAAGCGACAAAAGAATAATTTTTCAACTGGTTATCAAGAACTGTAACTCTTCAGCATTATGAATATTGAATTACTTCTTTTATAAGTTAATGATAAGTTGAAATACACACGATCCGCTTTATCACCCCATCTCCTCGACTTTTAATCACCAAAATTTAATAGCATCAATCTCCCTAATACAGAAACCTCCATGCAAAATTTCAGGAAATGTCGATAAAAATCGCAGCAGTTATTAAGCTTCAAACAAGGTGAATAAAATCGTGCCTCTCACACTAACATTCATACATATAGAAAAAAACTCAGTTTTTTGCATTTCTCGGCGTTTCAAAGTGTCCTAAGTCCAAAACTATAAAAATCTTGGAGGGTCATTTTTTTGACCGATTGCCATACTTTCCGTCTTTTATATTTAACAGCCAGAATAGTAGGAAACACAGATTAAGAACAATTTTCACGTAGATCACTGACATATACAACGATGTGCTCGATTATATTTAAGTTTTTTATATTATAGTTTGTAAAATTACGCTTTGTGTTACGTTTACGTTTCAAAATTATTACTTTTCATAGCTGAGTGTATCTAATTTTGTGCTAAAACAATCATATGGAAGTATAAATCATGTTGCAATAATCATATATTTAAGTAGAATTATATCTATGTACTGTACACGATGAGTACAATATGATTTAATGATTTGAAATAATTAAAATTGTATATGACAGATTAAAAAGTAATAAATTTATGGAAAGAAAGTTGGTGCAATGTGCTTATATTATTTAAATAACTTCAAGAAACGGTTTAAGTTACGAAATTAGGTTTCATTTTCAAAGGAAAAGAGTATTAAAGATTTTCTTATTTTACATAATTTCAAAGAACAATTATTAATACTGTACATTCGAAAAAATTACGTCTCATTTGGAAATTCAAAATTTTAAACGTCTCGTATATTTCAATTTTATTAAAACAATAACTTTCAGTTATTGTTTTAATAAAACAATAACTGTTTTAATAAAACAAAATTTAATAATGGAGAAATCTTGAAAGTATTTATCTATGAAAGTTAAAAGTGGCAACTCAAATTCTTTCCTTGATTGAAAAAAAACAACAATGTTAAAATTTAGTATTGATTTGTAATGAATTTTACATAAATCACATTGAAATACAATTCTGACAATAATGAAACATTGATTAAACAAACTTTCAATATGAAGACGTTAACAAATTGTTAGACAGTTTACGTTAAATATTGTAATGATACTTCAAGTTAAATATGAAAAATTCTTAATCAAAATTCCATGTTAATTGTTATCAGGAATCTTTCTTCTGTCAATTTTGTACTGAAATAATACATGCAATCTTGTATAAACATGTTATTAACGTAAAATGCACAAAAAATCATTGAACCATTTTTAATCGATACTCACCTTACTTATTATATTATATTCTATAGTGTTTTTCTTATTATCCTTTTCTTCTAAGTTCCTTTCATCTTTTATGTTCACGTGCTTGTTAAATATAGAAGGCAACTTTACATTCCAAGCTAAAGAAATGTGCGTTAGAATAGAATTGGTCATGTGTCTAACTGCTTTAGCTTCCCAATGAATTCCGTCCTTTTTTCTCTGATGTATATGCATTTGTAAACGATAATGAAGATCTAATATGTCCAAACAAAAATATGAAACGTATTACAGGAAAGAATATATTTTTAAATTGTTTGTGAAACAAAAAGTTACTACGCTTTTTACAAAAATGTAGTTAATTACGTTGTAAGAATTTTAATTTTAATTTTAAATAACTCATGTTTCCGATCTACTTGTGTGGATTTTTTTTTTTACTTCCTGTCCATTGGTCCCGTGTATGTTATTCTTTCTCATGAATAAAGTTAGTCGTGCTTTAGACTCTGTGCAGTTGTGACGTGTATATGTGTTCGTATTCCCTTGCATATATACGTGCGTTCTTGGCGTTCTTCTGTCGTCAGATCCGTTTCAGGTTCCATTATGAACTCTTCGATGTTCTTTATTTCTCAGATATGATTTTTGTTACTCCTTCAGCTGCTTCAGTCTTTTTGATTATACAGTATTTTTCTTAGATAAGATTGAATTGCGGCCTACTGTAGACCTGTTCACGCTATACTGCACAGCAACATTAGTCATCTTCTGCCCACTCTCTATCTTTGCTATTATACTCTCACCTTTCGAAAAGAAAAACAGACGCAAAACTTAACGAGTGCCTACCCGACAGTCTCGCGAATACATAAAAGAATTGTTTTGTCAGAAAAATAAAAGGCTGGAATTACAAGAAGGAATACTATCCGATCGGTATATACCGGCTTGAGCGTCGATGTCGACGTCTCCCATACCTCCGAAAAGTCTCGAATTGTTGCCCGAAGACAAGGGAGACCAATCGGTATTCATTATTTTACGTCGCTTCTTCTTGTGTTTGTTCTGTGGGGTGTTCGTTATCCGATCATGTGTTCGTTGTCCGAACATAAAAATCTTTCGCGAAAGTGTTCGTTATCCGATTTGTTCGTTATCCGATCTGTTCGTTAACCGATCACCCACCGTATAATTAATACAAAGTTAAATAAATATTTTAATTTTTATTTTAGTGTAATATATTAAAATTTATTCAAATTAAATCGAAAACAAATTAATATTGTAATACATTATGTCTTGAGTACAAAATTTTGAAAAAGAAAAAAATTTAAAGAATTAGTGAAAAAAAATCCAGCAACTAGTTGTTTAACTTTTCCGGCAACATTTAGTGGCGCCATCTGTTATGATATTTTATTTAAAAACTTTTTATATTTTTAACTTTTATAAAATGGCAAGAAGCTTAATTTTGAGGGTACGAATGGGTTTTATATAAAATTGTAAATGCTAATAACAAGTAAAATCGTCATTAAATCAGATCCTATTGGAGATACACACGATCCCCTTTATCACCCCATCTCCTCGACTTTTAATCACCAAAATTTAATAGCATCAATCTCCCTAATACAGAAACCTCCATGCAAAATTTCAGGAAATTTCGATAAAAATCACAGCAGTTATTAAGCTTCAAATAAGGTAAACAAAATCGTGCCTCTCACACTAACATTCATACATATAGAAAAAAATTCCGTTTTTTGGCATTTCTCGGCGTTTCAAAGTGTCCTAAGTCCAAAACTATAAAAATCTTGGAGGGCCATTTTTTGACAGATTGCCATACTTTCCGTCTTTTACATTTAACAGCCAGAATAGTAAGAACCACAGATTAAGAACAATTTTCACGTAGATTACTGGCATATACAACGATGTGCTCGATTATATTTAAGTTTTTTATATTATAGTTTGTAAAATTACGCTTTGTGTTACGTTTACGTTTCAAAATTATTACTTTTCATAGCTGAGTGTATCTAATTTTGTGCTAAAACAATCATATGGAAGTATAAATCATGTTGTAATAATCATATATTTAAGTAGAATTATATCTATGTACTGTACACGATGAGTACAATATGATTTAATGATTTGAAATAATTAAAATTGTATATGACAGATTAAAAAGTAATA